AGACTGGAAAAGGGATCAAGGACAAAAAAGGATTAAGAACTCTGGAGGGATTATCTCTAAATTTAGGTCTAGATTTTACTGTAGTCCTTGGAGTAAACCAGGAACTCTGAATACCTGGGCTTCAGTAAGGCACTTAACAAAGAGCTTCACAAGAGAGATCCTCTTTGAGAAGGTTGGGAGATGTCAGGTTGCCTGACAACACATTCATTGGATTCAGAACTAGCAGAATAGTGATTAGTGGACTGACTTCAATTGTGATGCAGATCTCCAGTAGTGTGCCTCTATCCTCAGTTCTGTCCAGTTGTTGTTGTTGTTAATGACTGGGACTTTCTCAGATTTGTGGGTGACAGAATGCTAGGTTGATTAGAGGATGGAATGTGACGGAAGTTTTAAGACAGCCTTTCACACACTATAAGAAATAATACATTCAAGCAGTCTAAAAAGAAAAGGCATTATCTCCTAAGACAGAGATATTCCAATAAAACTAATGATTACTATTCAAATGGCTATTGTATACAGCCCTGAGCTAGGGAACTAAGGGAGATTAAAAATTTAGATAAGAGCCCTCAAATAACTTAAATTATAGTGGATTCAGCTCAACTACATGCATGCATACATAATATATACACACATAAATACAAATACACATATACACATAATAACCCATATACACAAGTCCACATGTATGCTTATATACATATAAGTGCACACACAAATAAACCTACTTATATACGCATATGTTATATATGTTTGTTTATATATATACACACAAGCGTCTTGCACAGATATTGTTGTTGTTCAGTCATTCCGTCATGTCTGACTCTTTTTGGCCCATGGACCATGGCACATCAGGTACTTCTATCCTTTTTTGAAGTCTGTCCAAGCTCATGTTTGTTGCTTCCAAGATACTATCTATCCATCTCTTCCTCTTCTGCCCCCTTTTCTTTTTGCCTTCAATCTTTCCCAACATCAGAGTCTTTTCTAATGAGTCCTATCTTCTTGTTATGCGGCCAAAGTATTTAAGCTTTCAGCTTCAGTATTTGTCCTTTCAATGAATAGTCTGAATTAACCCCTTTAAGTATTGACAGATTTGATCTCCTTGCTGTCCAAGTAACTCTCAATAGTCTTCCACCACAATTCCGAAGCATTGATTCTGTGGTACTTGGCTTTCCTTATAGCCCAACTTTCACAGCTACAGAGTGCTACTGAAAAAAATAACCACAGCTTTGACTATATATAGATATACAGATATACTAAATACATGTTGGACACCGAGCTGTGCACTATGGATAGAAGTAAAAAATAAAATCTGAGCCCTCAAGAGAGGGATACAACATGTACAAAGATACCTTAAGGGTAGAGACTGCTCTTCATTTTTTTTTTTGTATGCTCAGTGCTTAACTTAATGGCTGACATACAGTATTAAATGTGTGCTAATTAGCATAGTATATGTGCTAATTGCTTGGTACAAAGTAATTTAAGGAGAAAGAACATTAATAACCAGCAGGATCAAGGAAAGTTTCATTGGGTGTAAAAGAGCAGGAAATGATCCCCTCCCCACCCCCAGCCCAACCCAAGCTCAGCAAATGTAATAAAAAATATATAGTTACACATGATGAGATCTGAATGTGTAAACAAGATGTGTCTACGTCCTGTGTCGCTTTATGAAATGTGAACCTATTTGAGTTAAAAGGGAAATGGACAATTGCCTTGGCAAACAGGTATCTGGAAGCTTTCAATGGCTACTCCCATTTCAGGAAGTTGAGTTTGAGTTCAATATCAAGAATTCTTCGTCAAGGACTTTCTCTTCCATCTCTGACAGCCTTTCCCCAAATTTCCCCCCACCCAACACACCCATTGGCCATATTGTCAATGCTGCTAGACCCTTAGGAGACAATGCATCCAGCCTTGAGCAGATGCATACACCACATCATAACACCTATGGGGAAACTGGGGGCAGCTGGGGGACACAGAAGATGAAGCACTGGGCTTAGAGTTAAGAAGATTTGAGTTCAAATCTGGCCTCTGTCACTAGCTGTATGACCCTGTGTAAATCAATTAAATTCTTTTCCTCTCCGTTTCCCTGGTGCATAGTAAGCACCATACAAATGTTAGTTACCACCATCATCATCATCATCATTATCATTGTTGTTGTTGTTACTTTAGGGGTGCTATACAAAGAATCTACAAAGAAAGAACGAGCTAGTGACTTGTCTTTTTTATCATATGCATTTTGCATATTACTTCACTACCAAAATACAGTAAGTTTAAGACCACTCTTCCCATACGTATTTGTGGGAGCATGCATCCCAGGCTGTTAGAATTCAAGAGAACAGTTAGGATGATTAAACATTCTAGACACAGGGTCAGCGAAGGCAACTCTTTCTAGAGGTTTGGCAATAAAGGAGAAAAGAGATATAGGAAAGTAGCTTGAATAGGTGGCAATGTCAAGTGACAGATTCTTTTTTCTTTAATAGAATGGAAATAGGTGATCTAAGTGATTTAACAGCTACAGTACTGCACTTTGACAAAAGTCTGAGTTGTAAGCATGCATTGACTGTGTAACTCATGGAAAATCATTTACCTTTCACAACCCCAGTTTCCTCATCTGTAAAATGGGAAGAATAGTAGTATGTATCTCCTAGGGTGGCTATATCAATGGTAATCATGCATGTAAAAAATAGTAAGCCATAAAATACTCTATAAATATTAGTTATCATAATCATTATCATCATTACTGCTACTACTATTACTATACTACTACTACTACTACTACTACTACTACTACTACTACTACTACTACCTGAGCATACTTGTAAGAAGCAGGGAAGGAGTAGATGGAGAAGAAGGGATAAGACATAATCACAGCTAGGCTAATGTATTTGTAATGAAGTAACACAATGTGTAAAGTGCTTTGTGAACCTTAATGCAGTATAAATATGAGCCACGCTGCTGCTGCTGGACAAGTCAATAAACATTTATTGAGCACTTACTGCGTGCCAGGCACTATGCTAAATGCTGGAGAGCAAATATAAGAAAAAGACAGTGCTTGCCCTCAAAGGTCATAAATTCTAATCAGGAAAAAAAAACACATGAAAGGTAGGTGGGAAGTGGAGGGAAGGTACCAGCACAGGACATAGTATCAATGTTTGGAGTTTCAGAAGTAGGGTCTAAAGAGGATTGAGGAATGGCCAGTCTGGGACCTTCCTCACAATGGCTATTCCAGGAAGAACTCACCAGTGGCAAAAGAGGCACAGGGGTGGAGGTGTGTTCCGGGATAACAAGACCACAGAGGACTTCCAGGCTGAGAAAGCAGCTGAAGCATGTAGTGAAGTCCAGAATCCAAAGCAAATATGGGAAAGGATGATGATTTCATCAGAGAGGTGAAAACCAAATATGAAATGAAAGGGAAACATTACCAACCAGGGGGATTCTAGATACATTTGAGTTGGATTTTAAAGGGTGATTATAAATTCATCACATAAGGAAGAGGAAGGAGGGCCATTCTAGACACAGGTAACAGGGTCAGCAAAGACATGGAGGTTCTGCTGAAGGTAGGTTCTGCTAGAGGTGATACATGGAGGTGATGGTAGATTTACTTGCCTACTGAATGAACTATGGTGAATAATCACCATCTTTTCCCTTTTAAATAAGTGCACTCTTCTTTTCCTTTAGTCTGGGTGTCATAGTCAGACCACAAATGCATCATCTTTCATCCCAAGCACAGCTTTCTAGGAGGTACTTCATCAAACTGGAGTGCATTCAGAGTAGTGTGACAACGTGAGTGAGAGGTCGGGAAACCTTCCTATTGAAAATTGGTTAGGGGAACTGTTTTTTTTTTTTTAATTTATCAAAGATATGTCATTGGGGAAGAAATAGCTGTCTTCAAGCATTCGAAGAGCTGCCATGTAGAAGAAAGATTATAGGATATAGATCTGGAAAGGGATTATTATTATTGTTATTATTAATTAGATTCTCTAGTCAGGTCATTTCATTTTATCAGTAAGGAAACTGAGGTGAAGTGATTGGCCCAAGTTAACATGGATGGCCAAGATAAGATTCAAACTAAGATCTTCCAATTCCAAACCCAATGTTCTTTCTACTGCGCATTGCTACTTCATATTTCTTTTGTATGGCTCCAGGGACATAATCGGATACACATTTATAGAAGGAAGATTTTTGGCTAGATATAAGGAAGAATTATAAAATGGTAATACAATTCCAAAAAATGAAATGTGCTAGCCCTCATCACTTCAGGAATCCAAGCAGATGACTGTGAGGGACATGATTGTGAGGGACATGCTGAACCAGGAAGCGGCTGGGTTGGAGGTGAGTAAGGCTGATGCCAAGAGGAACTGGGAAGTGCACTGTTGAGTGTGCTGAACTCCCATGGCATCTCCTCCCTCTGTTATGGAGGTTGAGTTTAGGCTACTGCCAAGAGGTAGTGCGAAGTGCCAACAAGGTGTGCTGAATACCCAGGGAATTTCCTCCCTCCAGGGGGCTCTGCCTGGGGAGGCAGGCTTCTCACAGGGGATGATAGGGACAGTTCTTCTGGTATCAAGTTAGTTGAAGCAGAGCAACGCAGAAGGCAGAACTAGCTTCTAGGTGCTTAGTCGCTTGAGCTAATGGCTGAATAAACTGTTTGAAATTCCACTTCTCTGTCGACTCCACTCCTTCGTTATCCGGGGATGCCCGAAGACTGCAGATGAGTATGACCCAGGCAGCCCTCCTCGAGTGATGAGGACGTTACAGATGACTGCTTGTTGCAGAAGCCTACCATGTGTAGGAGGGGTAGGGGATATGATATAACGCTGAGCTCTTCACAAGCTCTGAGAGTCTACATTGTAGGGAGGACTCTGTTTAAAGGGGAGGGAGTGAACAAAAATACCTTCCACCTCATAAGATTGTGATGTTCCTGGACCTTCATTTCCTTCCCAGAATTCTAATGCAACTGTTCCAGTCGATCCCCTATGGCTGATGGACTTCTCATAGGACAGAAAATGATCAATTGCACCAGGGTTCCTGGGTTCATTCTCCAGGGCTTCTCGGTCATTCCTGAAGTGCAGACTTTCAGTGTGGCTATCTTCCTTTTCATCTATATATTCTCTTTGCTTGGGAACATCTCCATCATCACAGCAGTGACTCTAGATTCTCATCTACACACACCAATGTACTTTTTCCTTAAGCATCTGTCATTCATTGACTTGTGTTCCACCTCCACCACACTGCCCCAGGCACTCTTTGCCACCCTGGCTGGCTCAGAATTCATCTCTCTCCCAGAATGTGCAGCTCAACTTTTTGTTTTTGTCTTCTGTGGAGCTACTGAGTGCTTTCTCATCACTTCCATGGCCTATGACCGCTATCTAGCCATCTACCAGCCCCTGACCTATGGGGCCACCGTGACCCAACAGTTCTGCTATGCACTGGTGGGTGTGGCCTGGGTGAGTGGGCTCCTCTTCTCCTCCTTCCACACAGCCAACACCTTCACCCTCTCCTTCTGTGACCCCACGGTGGAACATTTCTTCTGTGACATCCCACCACTCTTACGATTGTCATGCACTGATCCTCACAAACACGAAGCAGCTGGCTTTATTGTTAGTGGCTGTGTCATCATGAGCTGCTTTGCACTTACTGTTCTCTCCTACATCCGGATCGTAGCCACTGTGGCCCATATGAAGTCAACAGAAGGTCGTCAGAAGGCCTTCTCCACCTGTTCCTCCCACCTCATCACAGTAGTCCTCTTTTATGGGACTGGAAGTTCAGCCTACATGAGGCCTGCTAATGGCTACTCCCCACTTCAAGGACGCCTGGCAGCCATATTTTACTCCATCCTCACCCCTACCATGAACCCCATTATCTATAGTATGAGGAACAAAGACATGAAGGCAGCCCTAAGGAAGCTTTATGTTCATGGACCATGATGAAACTCACAGTCTTGGGAAGAGAGAGAAATTAGGTCTCCCATAGCATATTCTCATAACTCTTCCTGTGAAGTGGCCAATGTTGTACTCTGAGAATTGCCACTAATATAGCTTTGTGATCTTCATCAAAATGTTTCTTCTCACTGGGTCTCAGTTTCTTCACCTGCCAAATGGAAATAAGAACCCTTGCTCTTTAACTCATGGGGACTTTATAAGGATAAGACTTCAAAACATAAAGGATGCATTATTTCCTAAGAAGCGACATATTCCAGTCTGTGTAGATCACCACCTTTCCTTGTTATAGTTGACAATCTCTATGAGTTTCTGTGGCTTAAAAAATGTTTTTTTTTTCAACTGTGAATGATTTAGCTATTCTCAGCAATACAATGATCCAAGACAATTTCAAATGACTGATCTACTCCACTATCCATTATCCACCTCCAGAGAAAGAACTGATGGAGTCTGAATGCAGACTCAAGCATACTTAAAAACAACAGAAACAGAAACAAAAACTTCCTTTATAATTCTTGTGGGTTTTTTGCTTTGTGTTTTCCTTTGAAACATGGCTAATATGGCAGTTTTGTATAACTGCACGTGTATAATCTATATAAAATTGCTTGCCTTCTTACGGAGGGGGGAGGTAATGGAGGGAGGGAGAGAATTTGGAACTCAAAAATTTTTAAAAAGGAATGTCAAAACTTTTTATTTACATTTAATTGAGAAAGAAAAAATGAAAAAAATGAGATTTTTAGTGGGAATAATCACAGGCTAGTTACATGAACTGAAGAAAGAAAACCAACAGTTGAAACATGGAGAAGAAAGAATTTTAAGTTCAAATGCGGTATATCTGTAACCCCAGAAGTATCATTAACTGATGACTATTTCTGAATCTTCACCCTTCTTGACCTCTCTGCAGCCTCTGACACTGTTAATCCCCCTATCTCCTTGACACTTTCCTCCCTTTGGGTTTTCATGACACTACTCTCCCATGGTATTCCTGCTACCTGTCTGACCACTCTTTCTTAGCTTACCCTATTGGCTTTTAATCAAGATTATGCCTGCTAACCATGGCCATCTTCTAAGACTCCAATCAGCTCCAATTGATTCAATTATCCAAACTGATGATTCCTAAGTCAGTTTTCCAGCCCTAACTTCTCTTGACCTTCGGTCTTGTATTTCCAACTCTCTATTGGACATTTGGAACTGCATATCCCACAGACATCTCAAACTGAACATGCCCAAAACTGGACTCATTGTCTATTCCCCCAGACCCTCCCATCTTCTCAACTTTACTATTATTGTAGAAGGGGCCACCATCCTCCTAATAATCTAGGCTTGTAACCTAGGCATCATCATTGATTCCTCATTGTCTCTCACCAATATCCAATCAGGTGCTAAGGCCTGTTGTTTCCACCTTTGCAACATTTCTTGGATTCACTCCCTTCTCTCCTCTGACACTCCCACTAGCCCATGAAGGTCTTCATTTTTCTTCTCTCCAGTTTCTCCCTATTCCAGTTCATTTCAATTCAATAAACATTTATTAAGTGCCTAATTTGTTCCAGGCTCTGTGCTAAGCACTCCATTCAGCTATCAGATTGATCTTCCTAAAGTCTAACCTCTATTCAATAGACTGCAGTGACTCCCTGTTGCCTATAGGATCAAATATGAAAATCATCTGTTGGCCTTTTGAAGCCCTCCATTAAAAAAAATGGAAATACTTGCATGGAATAACGAAGAGTGAAAAGAGCAGAACCAAGGGAATGTGACATATAGTAACTGCAATATTATTTTAAGAACAACTTTGAGCAACTAAGTCATTTTGACTCTTATAAATAACCAAATGAACTACTAAAGGCACATGAAGGAAGACACTATCTGCATCCAGAGAAAGAAATGATAAATAGGAGTGTGTACAGAATGGCTTTACATATATATGTATTTATGTCTAATGGTAGCCATCTGAGGGATGAGTGAAGAAAAAAAAAGGAGAAACAAAGAAATTTACACAATTACTTTATTATATATTGATAAGGAATAGCAAGTTGTATACAATAGATTTGCAATTTCATGTGTAATCACCCTTTTTATTATACTATGTTATGGAAATGCTTGTTTTATTCCATAAATTTAAAATAAAATAAATTAAAAAAAACAATAAAGACAATAACTACAAATAAATACAAAGTGCTTAAATACCAACTAGTTTAAGGGAGATGCCACTCACAGTTGGAGGGGTCAGGAAAAGTCCATGGGTTTCAAAGTGAAGCTTGAATTGCATCTTGAAAGAAGAGATGGGTTCAGTGAGGCAGAGGTGTGGATGGCCAGTGCAAAGGCAGAGAGCTGGGGGCTGATCAGAATCAAGGAGCTTATTTTGACATCCAATCAATTTAAAGTTCCCACTTCGTCAAAATTACGGTAGCTGTAGTATCTGGACACCTGAGTCATTTTCCCTCCTTTCTCCCTCAGCTCTCATGCCATGCTCTTATGGGTGAGTCCATTTTCTGCTTATTTTAAAATATTAGTTATGATTCTTCTTGCCTCTATCCTTTTCCTCCTTTATCAAAATGGTCTAGTTGCAACTAGACTCGTCCATACTAAACACAGAGCAGCAGTATCATTTCCTGCAACATCGCCATTTCAGGGCTGAGGAGGGAATAGAAGCCAGTTTCCCTTAAGTGATGAGGTACGTTGGACTTTCTTTCTTTGAACCTTACATAATTCTCATGGTGGATGGCATTTCTGACCCCAGAACTCTATTTGGGCTCCAACTGCTGGCCACAATAATTCATTAATGAGAAAGCATTCCTTAAACAGTTACAATGTGCCATGCACTGTGCTGAGCCCTGAGAGTGCAAACACAAACAAACATGACAATACTTGCATTTAATGAACTTATAATGTGGAAAGACAAGGTTTAAAAGGAGGGCAAGAGAAAGGGAGAGGGATATTGCTGAGTGTTGAACTTAACCTGGAAGTGAATTGAAGGCATGTTCTGTAAATCAGTAGTTCATCACATCAGCGTCCAGGGACCCAGGGTCACAATTCCAGTAGTTCCAGTGTGAGGGCAGGGGGTCGTTGTTGAGTATCATTAATTTAGAGTCAGCATGGGCAAATTCACTTCTCTAAGGACAATAATTAAAAATCATAGTTAGAAAGCACATAGCACTGTAAGGTTTGTGGAGCACTTTACAAATCATTTGATCCTTACTAAAACCCTGGGAGGTAGCTGTTATTAACCCCATCATACAGATGAGGAAATGAAGCAGATAGAGGTGAAATGACTTGTCCAAGGTCACACAACTAGTAAGTGTCTGCAGCTACATTTGAACTCAGGTTTTCTTGAATCCAGGTTCGGTGCTCTATCCACTGTGATGCATATCTGCCTGTATAACAGCACCAGGTAAAGAGAGAACTAGGATCCAGTGGGTTGGCGAGAGTAGTTATAGCTCTACTTGGTACAGGTGCCAAGCTTGGCTTCTGCCAAGGTGATCTTTCCCCCATCTCTAGACTTTGTGTTTCACTGAAAAATGCCCCACTCTCTTTCAGCACAGAAATGAAAGCCATCCACCTTCTTGCATGTCCCTGCTTTACTTTAATTCGGTAACTCATCAGTGATACGGAACGATAGCAGTCAGTCCTGAGCTGAGGAGAGGCATGACACTTTTGGCCCACTGCTCCCACAGATGCCTTTCAATTCCCCCCCCCCCACCCCCGCCCCAAAGGGTTTCTATTGATGAGCCTACGTAGTTACAAGGGTCGTCTAATCCAACCCCTTGTTTTCAAATGAGGGAATGGAGGCTCCGAGAGGGATTGTGACTTGTTCTAGGTCCTACAGCAGCAAACACCAGAGATGGGCGTTGCTGCTGGTGTCAAGGTCACACCTCTACCCCCTTTCTGTCAAAGTCGCCACATCCAGGCTATAGGGAAGTGACGGTCACACCCTCCTTCCTCCCCCCAGGCGAGTTGGTGAAAACTAATTAGGTTTACAGCCTGCTGATTATATTCATTGTCGGGCTTTTTATTGTCTTGCTGTGGCTGTGTAGGCATTTCCCTTCTATAGGATTCTCTGTGACCCCACTTGGGGTTTTCTTGGCAAAGATACTAGAATGGTTTGTCATTTCCTTTTCCAGTTCCAGACAAAGAGGGTTAAGTGACATAGCCAGGGTCACGCAGCTAGTTAGTGTTTGAGGCCAGATTTGAACTTAGGTCTTCCTGACTCCGGATCCGGTGCTCTATCCTCTGCTCCAGCTAGCTGCCCAATGACTCCTTATCTAGTGACTAAAAACATGCCCATACCTCCCTGATTCCTGAAACAAAAAAAACCCTGACTTGAGCCATCCCTTTCTGCTAACTCCCAGCCTGTATTTCTTCTGCTTTTCCTGGCTAGATTCTGTGAGAAGGCTGTCTACAATAGGTGGCTTCACTTCCTCTCCTCTCAAGCACTTCTTAACTCCCTAAACATTGGCTTCTGTTCTGAAATGGCTCTTAATTGATCTCTTAATTGCCAAATCCAGTGGCCTTTTCTCAATCCTCATTCCTCTTGCCATCTCTGCTGCTTTCCACAGTGTTGCTCACTCTTCTTTTCAATATTCTCTTCTCTCCAGGTTTTTGGGCCACCATTCTCTCCTGGCTCTTATCCCCCCTCTCTGACATCTCCTTCTCAGTCTCCTTTGCTGGATCCTCCTCCAGGTCAAGCACACTAACTTGCATGTCCCACAGAACTCTCTGCCTTGGGCCCTCTTTTCTTTTCTCTCTGTACTATTCCACTTAGTGATCTCATCACTCCAATGGATTTTGTTATCAGCTGTCTGCTAATGATTCTCAAATCTGACAATCCAGCCCTTAACCTCTCTGCTGAATTAACTGCCTTTCAAACAGCTCAGACTGGACACCCAGTAGACAGACATCTTAAACTCAACATGTCCAGAGCTGAACTCAGTATCTTTCACACTAAACCCTCTCCTCTTCCTCATTTCCCTGTCACCATTGAGGATAGCACG